GGTAAGCAATATAAGCAACAAGATCGATCCGCTCAATAAGCACACACAGTTTAGCTAACGATTATAAAGGCAATAAATTGCATATATGAAACTCAATTCTTTCTGATCCTAAATATATACTCATTCATTATATAGGGGCGTTACGCATACTGGTTTCAATGCTCTTTGGGTACTTTGGTAAGAAATACTACGTCTACTGATCAATGAGCCCTTTTCTTTTCTTCATTTTTGTTCTATATCTTGATTCTTCTTTATGCTAAAGTTATTATTATTATTATGTTATTAGCAAGGGATTTATATCAGCTAAAGTTGATGGATGCCTATGCCCGTGAGGTTATACGTTTGATATGTAAAGAGTCATTTTCAAAATTAGATGAGATCCAGTTTGGGCAAAGTACAGCAGTGAAGGCAATCCTCCAGGCTATCAAGTGCGGCATCCCAGACATTGTGACAGAAATTACTTATGCTAATGTTAATATATTACGGAGCATCACAGATCCTGAAGATTCATCAAGAAACATATTTGCTTGTGCTATAGCACATCATCAAGAGGAGGTGGCACGCTTTCTTTATCGGTTTGCAGAGAAGAAGACAAACGTGGTTGAGACAAACATGGTTATTGCCGTCGATGAAGATAAAAATAATATATTACATCTAGCAGCAAAGTTAGCCCCTCCTTATCAATTAGATTGCATCTCTGGTTCAGCGTTGCAGTTGCAAAGTGAACTACGTTGGTTCAAGGTAATTTTTTATTTTTATTTGTTTTTTCTAATTAAGTATTGAGAAATCTTATATAATTCCTTATTTCATATATTATGAAAAACTGTAGGGGGTAGAAGAAATTGTTCCAAGATCTTACCGCGAACACCGAAACAACAATGGGGAAACTCCTCTGGAAGTGTTTGTTAGAGAACACAAGGATTTGCTAAAAGGAGCAGAGGAATGGGTGAAGAAAACAGCAGAATCCTCTACAGTCGTTGGTGCTCTTATTATTACCATTATGTTTGCAGCGGCTTTTACTGTTCCTGGTGGCCATGAGCAAAGTACAGGTTTCCCTATATTTTTGCACAAAACTCCGGTACCGTTTATGGTATTTATGGTATCAGATGCAATTTCTCTTTTTGCTGCATCAAGCTCAGTGATAATGTTTTTGGGGATTCTCACTTCACGTTTTGCTTATGAAGATTTCCATAAATCCTTACCTATTAGGTTGGTTATGGGCCTTTCTTCACTCTTCATATCTATTGCAACAATGACGATGGCATTTTGTGCCGCTCTTGTCATTATGCTAGAAGGGCGATTGTGGGTTGTCATTCCCATAACTCTGCTCGCCGGTATTCCTGTCGCATTCTTCGTCTTGTTGCAATTTCCTCTTCTTGTTGAGATTTATGTTTCAACTTCTAGGCCAAACATCTTTGATGGGGAAGTATCATCCTGGATGAGAATAATGAAAGATATGTTTGTGGGATTGTGGGCAGTCGTACAGCGGTAGAAATTCTTGCAATGCATATGTGATGGTGTGGAAGTATATATTTTTCAGATTGAAGTCCCCCTCGAAGGAATTATTGGACAATTGTTTTAACGATTTAGGGGCGGAGTGAGGCGGATGTTGTTGTATTATTGGAACCGTTCAAGGTGTGGGGGAATTGGGGCACCCGCACGGGCCGCCCAACCCCTTAATTCTCGGAAATTTTTATTTTTATTTTTAAATTTAGTATGTATATTAATTTTTATCTTTAAAATTCGTAAATATTATACTTATTGCATGAGACTTTATGGTATTTTCATTTCACTCTTTATTATCTTTATAAATTATCATCCTTACAACTCAAAATTAATATAGTTTATTAATTTTAATAAACTATATTAAAATTGTACAAGTTGAGATTAATTTTGATAACAATTATTTTTTTAATGGATTGCAATAGCATGGAAAATTTCGCTTACTAGAAATGAAAAATTGTTTAACAATGGTGCCGTTGACATTGAAAGAATGTTTTAACTCGATTCAAGTTAAAAGTTTTTAGTGGCTGATGATTCCATGACAAACAGGGTATTTTTATTTTTTGGACTAGTTGCTTAATCCTAGATTATGTTGCCATAGTACTAAGAAGGTGGGATCAGGGGTGGAGCTAGAAATTTTTCTCAAGGGGGACAAGAAAATTTTTTATATACTAATTTACAAAATTTTTAAATTTTAAAAGGAGCAAGATAATTTTTCATATGCTAATTTATAATATTTTCAAATTTGAATTTAAGGTGGGAAAATTTTTAAAAGTAAATTTTAATAATTGAACATGAGTGTTGCTAAATTTGATTAAAAGATTAATATTTTCAAATTTGAATTTAAGGCGAGAAAATTTTTATAAGCAAATTTTAATAACTGAACATGTGAGTGTTGCTAAATATGTTAAACTGAAGCATGTACAAATTATTTTCTTTTAATTAAATCTTTTTGCAAAACCCATGTATTTCATTT